CTACCTCAGATCATGGTCCAATCATTTTAGATTTTGGTCGAGTACAAGCAGAAACATCAATGAGATCCTTTCGGTATGAGGCGATGTGGGAAAAACATGAAGGTTTTGGAGGGGATGTGAGTACTGAATGGGCAGCCTCGGGACCGTGTGTGACTGTACAACAGTTGCATGATAAATTGGCCACTGTTTCGAAAGGGATAACGAGATGGAGTAGGCAATCTTTTGGAAATGTGAGACGGGAGATCAGGGAACTTAAACTGAGATTGGAGGAACTAAAAGGGGACCCTCTTCGTTCGGCACCATCACATGTGGAGCTCAAAATCAATGAAAGGCTGGTGGAGCTCTACCACCGAGAGGAGATCATGTGGAGGCAACGTGCGCGGGCTGATTGGCTTTCTTCAGGGGACAAGAACACGAAATTTTTTCACCTTCGAGACAGTCTGAGAAGAAAGAAGAATATGATAAGGGCCCTTGAAAATGCGCTCGGTGTGGGGGTAAGCGATCCAGCTGAGTTGAAGTCGATGGTGAATGCTTTTTATCAAAATCTTTACACATCAGAGGGGGTGCAAGGTGTTGAGGAGGTACTTGAACATGTACCGAGTAAAGTAACAACAGCAATGAATGCACATCTTTGTGCTCCGTATACCCGCGAAGAGGTCAAAATTGCACTCTTCCAGATGTTCCCTACTAAGGCTCCGGGTCCTGACGGTTTTCCTGCTCAGTTCTACCAAAAACACTGGGATGTGTGTGGGGATGATGTGACAAATGTTGTCCTAAGGATTGTGAGAGGGGAGGAGAGCCCTGAATGCATTAATAATACCATCTTGGTTCTCATCCCGAAGGTGAACAATTCCACCCTCCTCTCGCAATTTAGACCGATAAGTTTATGCAACGTCTTGTACAAGATAGCATCAAAGGTAGTGGCCAACAAATTGAAGCAAATTCTACCAGATATCATATCACAAGAACAGTCAGCCTTTGTGCCAGGAAGACTGATAACAGACAATATCATATGTGCTCATGAGTGTTTGCATTTTATGAAGAGGAAAAGGTCAAAAAATAATAGTTTCTGTGCTCTAAAACTGGATATGATGAAAGCTTATGACAGACTGGAGTGGGATTACTTGAGAGCCATCATGGTAAAGCTGGGTTTTGCTCAGGCTTGGATTGACACAGTCATGTCTATGGTATCCAGTGTATCTTTTTCAGTGTTATTCAATGGCGAGAAACTTGAGAATTTCCATCCATCTAGGGGACTTCGGCAGGGAGATCCTATCTCCCCTTACCTTTTCTTGATTGAAGCAGAGGGCCTTCCGTGCCTCCTGAAATCCAGTTCTCAGTCATCATTGTTGGCAGGTATCAAGGTGGCACCCACGGCTCCAGCCGTTAACCATCTTCTATTTGCAGATGACAGCCTGTTAATTTTCAAGGCTAGTGTGGAGGGTGCAGAGAAGGTATCAAACCTACTAACTTCCTATTGTAATGCTTCCGGACAGAAAATAAACAATGCAAAGTCATCCATATTCTTTAGTAAGGGTTATCCTCAAACAATAAGGGACGGGGTGAAGGACAAACTTCAGGTGCACAATGAGTCTCTCAGTGATCGTTACCTGGGTATGCCGACTGAGGTTGGACACTCAAAGAACGGCACTTTCAAAATCTGAGGGATAGAGTTTGGGAGAAAGTGAAAGGATGGATGGGAAAATTACTGTCGTGTGCTGGAAAGGAGGTGCTAATAAAAGCGGTGGCCCAGGCTATACTGGTCTATTCTATGTCCTGTTTCAGGCTTCCAAGAGGGCTGTGTGATAGTGTTACAACCATAATTCGGCAGTTTTGGTGGGGAAGCAAAGGAGGCAGAAGGAAACCAGCATGGGTTGCATGGGATATAATGACTATGCCAAAATATATGGGAGGTATGGGATTTCGTGATCTGGAACTGTTCAACTTGTCTCTCTTGGCTAGGCAAGCATGGAGGGTGATGGATGATCCGGAGTCTTTGAGTGCAAGGATTTTGAAGGCAATATACTTCCCAGATCGATCCCTTTTGGATGCAGAATTAGGCTCTCACCCCTCCCAAATATGGAGAGGGATACTTGATGGAAGAGATGTAGTTTCTCAAGGAATTATTCGGCGCGTAGGAGACGGAGAAGAGACAGATATATGGAATCATAATTGGATCCCAAGAGAGAGTTTCAGGAGACCGATTGCTTCTTTGGTACCGAATCCACCTCGACGTGTCTCAGAGCTCATAGAAACATCAACAGCAACTTGGAGAGAATAGCTGGTGCAGGCTGTCTTCACATCGTTCGATGCGGAAGCAATTGTAAAGATACCTTTATGTACTCGTAAGATCTCTGATTTTTGGGCTTGGAGTGAGGAGCCTCGGGGCCACTTTTCTGTCATCTCAGCTTATCTTATGCTCACCCGCACAAAGCTGAACAGAGAGGCGTGGCGAGAGGGTCGCGGGGGTACATCAAGAGTAGAAGCAGAAGGAGCTGAGTGCAAATCGTTGTGGAAGGTATAGTTTTCGTCGAAGATCAGAGTCTTCATGTGGAGATTGGCAAAGAACTCGATCACATCGGCTGCAGTGTTGCACAGGCGAAACATGGCGACTTCTGCAGCATGCAGTTTATGTGGTGTTCATGACTCATGGAGACATGCTTTGTTGGACTGTCCTATGTCAAGGAGCACGTGGGCGCTGTCATCCGAAGCCATCCTGGATCAACTGAGCATCAACCAAAGTGATTGTGCTAAGGATTGGATTTTTGTCATGGGTAAAACTTTGGAATCGGAGGAATTTATCAGGTTTGCAATAACTCTTTGGGCCATCTGGGGTGCAAGGCACAAGGCAATATATGAAGATATATTCAAAAGCCCATATGCAGTTCATGGTTTCGTTAACTCTTATCTAGTAGAACTTCATCAGCTATCGCAAAAGGATGAGCCCCACAGGAGTGCAGCACCTGGGTGGCCGGGTTGGCTAGCACCGCCCGAGAATTCTATGAAACTAAATGTTGATGCAGCAGTGAGCAGGGGAGGAAACCATGGAACGGTGGGTACAATCTGCAGAAACAGCGAAGGCATTTTCCTTGGAGCGTCGGCCTATGTTTTCAGAAATCAAAATGATGCTGCTACCCTTGAAGCGCTAGCTATCAGGGAAGGTTTGGCTCTAGCCCAGGATCTGAATTTGAACCGTTTACATCTCGCTTTAGATTGCCAAGGTGTTGTGTCAGAAATCAAGAAGGGGAGTGGATCAGCATACGGAGCTATCATCGAAGAGATCAAGATGACGGCTACGTCTTTTACTTTATGTAATATAGTTCATGAGCATAGGAGCTCCAATAAGGAGGCTCACAATTTAGCGAAGCATGCTTTAAAGTTAGGGTTTGGTCGTCATGTTTGGCTAGGCCAGCCAGAGGGAATTCCTTTCGTCCTTGTAAACATTGTGACGGAGCTTCGCGAGATTGCCACAAAAAAAAGATAATTGGATGTTCAACAAGTTTTACGAAATCATCTATTCCAAATTCGACGACACTAGAGTCAGGACTGACACATATTGTCCCACACAAATTGCCCCTTGAGCTTCATCCAACAATGAATGTGTGAATGGCCTACCCTCAGCCCTGTAATACATCATGACAATGTGTGCATGCTATAGAACATGTACACCATTATTGAGTGAATGAATTAATTAACCAACATGTAGAGCAAACAAGAAGCAACATTTACGATCTTCATGGTTGACGAGCCCAATGGCTACCTAGTCTTCATTTGGTGAATCACACTTCAAAACCTCATGATGGAGTTGCAGATGTGTACCACCGATGCGTTAGCGACTTCATATTACGTGCATCGATGTCGTGCATTTTGAAGGGCGACAAGTTCTTTCACCCATGAAACAAAGCATGCAAGTTGTGCCAAAAGATCGGGCCCTTGCTTATGCCTACAAAATCCTCATAAACAACCAACCACGCATTGCACAACAACTCATTCTTGAACACCTAGTATCCCGTCATCGTGCTTCTCCAAAAAACAAGTTCAAAAAAGAGGATCAATGGCACTTGACCGAACACCTACCGGGTGCGGTGTCTGCCATAGACGTCATCAGTAAGAGGGTGCGGAGGGTACCTAGATGCAGAGGGATTCCTGGGTGGACAGGGGTGTGGTACAAAGCAGGCAGTCGCGTGGGCGGGGTCTGCGGACGTCCGAGGATTCCTGATGGCGTCCAGAGAGGTACAACGACGGCGTGGGACAGAAGGGTGCAGATGAAAGAAATGAGAGGAGAAGGGGGAGGGGGGTGGAGTGCAAGTAAAAAGTAAACCGAAAGGAGGAATTCAATGAGATGGAGGTGTCGGAGTCCTACGTGATTAATGTTCATTCTCCCACAAAGCCTCCCAGAACGTCGACCAGCACCCTTACCCTTTGAAACTAAAAATGACCAAAGTCGGGTCGATGCTCGCCGGAAAAAAAGAGATCCATCGCTGTCGTGGAAGAAAAATCACCATCGGCCGCGGGACGCACCCTGCGCGGGCGGCGTATGTAGGCACGTCCGTCCGGTAGGTGCTCCAACATTGCTCGCCGACCAACATAACACCTGTGGAATCTTTTTGGCGCAGCCCGATTGGGGCACGAGGGTTGATGCTCCATTCCCCACCCTCGCCGTGTCGGTCCATCTAAAGAAAACCATTTTTGATGCCTCACATGACGTTGTTTTCTTCCTCTTGTTGTTGGCGCTTAGCTGCCTTGCCAGACACGTACGCCCGTCACGGCTCCGGGAAAACGACTCGACTACAATCAGTCATCATACAACAAAAACGTCGCCACCCTGTCGTCCATGCACCGGCCAAAAAACTAGAATCAATTTGTGTACACCTTTGATTTCATGTCGACAAAGAACGAGAAGAAGAAGGGGAGAAAAAGTTGGTCTGATTAACATGATGTGTATGTATGTGTCGTCGTCGCCGGCGCCGGCGCCGGCGTGTGACGTGTCAGTGCGCGTGTCACCGGAGGAGGTCGAGCGCCTTCTGGAGCACGGGCCGGAAGCGGGCCATGTCGAGGCGCACGTCCTGCTTGCCGAGGTAGATGTCCTTGACGAGCGACCAGCTCTGCTTGTGGATGGGGCCGGGGTCGAGGAACACCGGGTGGCCGCGCGGGTAGAGCTCCGACAGCGTGCTCTCCTCCGCCGTGATGTTGTACTGGATGTAGCGCATGTTCATGTCCCGCGGCGGCACGCCGTACTCGTCCATGGCCAGGCCCTCCATCCGCCCCAGCGGCACCACCTGGACCACCACCGCGTTCATCGGCAGGAACAGCAGGTTCGTCAGCCCGGACCCGTGCACCGCCAGCATCACGTCGAACGCGTTCGCCGTCGCCGACGCGTCCGCCATCCGCGCCTGCCCGCCGTCGCCCACCACGGCCGCCGCCGCCTCGCCGCCCTGCTTCTTGGGCGGCGACATCAGGTCCGACGCCGTCACCTCGAAGCCGAGCTCCTCCGCCGCGGCCACGATCTCCTCCAGGTTCATGAACCGCCGCCGCGACCGCCGCGTGATGATCAGCAGCCGCGGCCTCCGCCCGCCGACCACCTCGTCGTCCGTCCGGATCGCGTGCTCCCGCGGCAGCGCGTAGCGCCACATGAGGAAGCGCTTGAAGTCCACCATGGACACGTTGTTGGGCGCGCGGCGCGGGTCGATGCTCAGGTCCTTGTGGCTGCGCAGCCCCACGAAGGCCCGCCGGTAGCAGTGCACGCGCGCGTCGCCGTCGAGGTCCAGCGCCTCGTGCCGCGTCAGCCCGTCCACGATCTCGCCGTACTTGCGGAACCACCACGCCTGCTTCTGCTTCACCAGCAGCTGCACCTCACCGCCCAGGTGGCGCGTGGTGATGAAGAGCGGGATGATGTTGTCGTTGAAGTCGTGGTAGTAGTTGCCGCAGTAGCCGCCGTTGGAGTACACCACGGCCGGCACGTCGTGCATCACCTCGCACGCGGGGGCCTCGTCGGCGTCCGCCAGCCGCACCGTCACCGCCGTGATGCCGTTCATGATGCGGGCCTCCCCCTTGCGCGTGTACGGCTGCATCTTCCAGCTCGTGGCGTTGGGGGCGATCCACGTCGCGTTGTGGCCGACGACGTCCCCGGCGGTGGTGCCGCGGCGAGGGGTCATGACGAACACCTCCGACGTGCTCCCGCGGACGCGGATGGCGCCGGCCATCTCGCAGTAGTCGGATCTCGTGTCATTGAAGTCGCAGCTCACCTGAGGCTCCGGGATGAACTCCTCCTCTGCATTATTTACACAACACAGAAATCCACATTGCAAATTTTAATCAAGAGCTTCTTTTCTTTCCCCGGATGAACTAACCGATCATCCAGATTGTAGCAGAAGATCCCTACCTGCGAGATTGAAGAAGGCTCTCCTCCTGCTGCTATCCATCAAGAGCGACGGAAAAGGCTTGCCTGCAGATTGAATCAAACCTCAATGTCAAATCTCCATTTCCACCACAAGAACCGATGAACACGCATTCGGATGCGACCAATGAATGAGTCCATGAATCAAAACAGATGGAATGCAATGCAACGCATCGAAGAAGAACACGTACCGATCACCAAGAACTGGACGGCCCCGATGAGCAGCAGGAGGGGGAGGCTGCATGAGGCTCCCCTGCTCTTCTTGAAGCTCTTGCTCCTGACAGGGAGAGGGACCTTCATCTCGGCACGACCTCAGAAAGCAGAGAGAGCCACAGAGCCCCTATCCCCTCCTTGTGGTACTACAAGTAGCATCCACAACCGCAACGCATTCCTCAAGTAGCAGATCAATGGCAGGCCCTGCCGGCGATGATTAGTTAAGTCGGGGGGAGGAGAGGAATTAAGAAATGGATACGATACGATAATGGACAAATAGATAGGCGCGGGCACGGGCACATCACAGCGCGGCGGTAGTGGCCGGGGAGAACGATACAACTTAGTACCACTAACTAGACGATGATTTGGAAAGCGATCGCCATTAGTTTATTCGAGCTCGCTCCGCTGGTCGGTAGAACGATTACAATCGCTGGCACTTCATGGAAACCACGTTTCCTCGCGCGCGCGCCTCCCTCCGCTTTCCCTTTTCCTTTCGTCCCACGAGAACTGAGCCAACGCTTGCTTGCTTTGCGCGCCTTTGGACTTTCCGAAGCCTCCGCTCGGATTTCGTTCACGGGCAACAAGATCTCAGCCGGAGCTCGCTTCTCGTCGTCGTCGTCGTCGTGATCGCGATCGCGATCGAGCTGCAAACCCGATACATTTATGTTGGTAGGTCAATGGACGTCAGCTGAGATTTTAATGGCGAACTCACTCAGTGGCCAGACCGATTTTACATGCCTTGCAAGTAAGCGTGGTACTGGTGGTACGTGGTGCTGGTCGCCAGATCTACGGGCTTGGCATTTCGTGCTGCTCCAGCAAACGGAATTGTTTGGGGCACATGGGAGGAATCGCAGCGCGAACGCAACAGCAGAATGGCAGGGGAGATTGCCCAGTCCAGGTTGCAACTACTTTATTACCATCCCGGCCGTTCGCCTTTTCCATTTCTTTTCTGCTCCCGGAGGCTGGAACTGTGCGCTTTTTTACGTAAATAAAATAAAAGTCTACTAGTGGATCGATTGCTCGTTCCGAATCACGCTTAATTAAGTTTAACTATGAACCATCGAGTTGCTTTAGTATATATTAATATAAAGCGGAGAGAAACTCTTTTTCGTCAACTATGAACCATCGTGCCCACGGCAACTCTGTGATTCTGCATTATTTCCCCGAGATCATCTTGGAGAAGATAATAACTGGGAACTTTGAATCTCTGCCTGGATATACAATGACTCGCACCCTCATCTTTTTGCTGTCTCCCGGCATGGCAAGCAAAGAATCGCCAAAGAATTCAACGGAAAACGACATTAAATTAACCTGGAAAACGCAAGCTGGGGACAGGGGTGCACAGACATGGGGGGGCGTCGGTGCCGCAAAGAAAGAAGAAGAAGAAGAAGAAGAAGAAGAAGAAGAAGAAGAAGAAGAAGAAAAACATGGAGGACCTCGCGGATGGGAGGCAGGTTTTTTAAATTGTGATACACATGGCCGTGATGAAATTGTATCATATGGTTGACCAACCTTCAGAATAGCGCCCTTCTGACTAGCATCTCGCGTGTCCGTTTGATATGCCGTGCGTGATTCCATGGCCGTTTTTCCATTAGCTCGCCAGCTGCAGATCATTCTGACCTTGCTGCAACTTGCCTCGCTGATGCGCTCCGCCATCTGCACCGCGTGCGTTTCTGCCGCCGAATACGGTGATCAGCACGTATGATTAGTCGATTACGCGGAGAAGACTACGGGAGAGAGTACTGCTGGCCACGTCGGTGTCAAGTGGACATGTGGTGGCGTTGTCTAGCTACGCTGGGAGCATTCTGTCCTCTGGTCCCTGATCCCAGAAACGAACATGTAAATCCATGCCCACTAGTAGTATAGTGCAGGGAATGTGTAGCCACACGTATTATTGGACGACGATCTATTATTCTGTGGCGTAGGAAGCTGCCGGGATATCTTCCGGCCACCGACCGCCGGCAGGCACCGGCCGATGGACGGACGGAAGCGAGGCTGTGATCCGATAGTTGCGGTGCCTGTACGCACGTACGTACGCACGGCATTTCAGTTTGTACGGGCGTGTACGACTCTTCATCCTCACGCGAGTCACCGGCTCAGGGCACACGCACCACACGCCCCCGGTACTGATCCTCACAAGTCCTCCTCTTTCGACGAAGGACGAATTTTACTAGCTAAAAATTGTACTCCCTCTATCCATAATGTACGACGTTTTTAATACCACATTAGTGTCAAAAAGTGTCTTATATTATAGAACGAAGGAAGTAACATAAAGAATTTACAAAACACAATGAGTACACATTTTTTTTGCATCACTAAAATCCATATAATCAATACCGACAGACATACATAAAAATCACGCAAGCAAAAAAGCAAAGTCATACGAAACTGAAGTTATGCCTAGGCGGAGAAAAAGAAACAAAGCAATCAAAACAACAATCTACAAACTACAACAACAACTATGATAAAGATTCTCTAGCAGCAACGCCTTCAGAAAGGGAATGATGTTCAAACGCCGCCATCGCCGGATCAAACCACCAAAGGCCAGGTCCTAGGTTTTCATCCCAGAGCTCGAGACCAGTTACTTGAGAAGCATCACCAAAGCGAAGTCATCATGTGCCACCGCCATCATTTTTCACGATCCCAACAGCTACATGTGTAGCACGATCTTGACGTGAGATGCCACATGAGTGAAGATCATCCTGCACAAGCAGGCAGTCAAGTCCCAAAAAGTGACAGTTGCCACCAAAGGCTTAGAACGACGAAGGCCACTGTCACACATGCGGTGAAGATCTGGCATCAACCTCATGCTCCGTTGTCCTCACCTATGGCAGCAGAATTGGTTGACAAAACTGTTGGGAACGTAGCATGCAATTTCAACAAAATTTCCTATGCTCATGCAAGATCTATCTAGGAGATGCATAGCAACGAGAGGGGGAGATGTGTCCACGTACCCTCGTAGACCGAAAGCGGAAGCGTTTGACAATGCGGTTGATGTAGTCAAACTTCTTCTCGTTCTGACCGATCAAGCACCGAACGTACGGCACCTCCGAGTTCTGCACACGTTCAGCTCGATGAGGTCCCTCGAACTCTTGATCCAGCAAAGTGTTGAAGGAGAGTTTCGTCAGCACGACGGCGTAGTGACGGTGATGGTGAAGTGATCTGCGCAGGACTTTGCCTAAGCACTACGACAAATATGACCGGAGACGTAAACTATGGAGGGGGCGCCGCACACGGCCAACAATCGTTCTTGTGTGTTATAGCGATGCCCCCCCCCCTCATATATATAGGTTGGAGGGGAGGAGAGGCAGCCAAGGGGGCACCCCAAAGTAGGAGGAATCCTACTTGGGCGCCTCCCAATTCGGCCTCCCCCCTTCCATATCCATCCGGAGGGGTAAGGAAGGAGGAGGGATGAGGGAAGGAAGGGGGAGGCCGAATCCCTTCCCTTCGTTTCTCCCTTCTCCTCTTTCCTCTCCCCTTATTTTGGCCTACATGGGGCGCACCAGCCCCTTAGGGGGCTAGTCTGTCCCCCTCTTGGCACATTAAGGCCCATGTAGTTGCCAGGGGGATGCCCGGAACCCCTTTGAGTGACCTGATATGCACCCGGTACCCCCGGAACGCTTCCGGTGTCTGAATATCATCGTCCTATATATCAATCTTTACCTCTCGACCAATTCGAGACTCCTTGTCATGTCCGTGATCTCATCCGGGACTCCGAACAACATTCGGTCACCAAATCACATAACTCATATAATACAAAATCGTCATCGAACGTTAAGCGTGCGGACCCTATAGGTTCGAGAACTATGTAGAGATGACCGAGACACCTCTCCGGCCAATAACCAACAGCGGAACCTGGATGCTCATATTGGTTCCCACATATTCTACGAAGATCTTTATCGGTTGAACAGCAATTATAACATACGTTATTCCCTTTGTCATCGGTATGTTACTTGCCCGAGATTCGATCGTCGGTATCTTCATACCTAGTTCGATCTCATTACCGGCAAGTCTCTTTACTCCTTCCGTAGTACATCATCCCGCAACTAACTCATTAGTCACATTGCTTGCAAGGCTTCTTATGATGTGCATTACCGAGAGAGCCTAGAGATACCTCTCCGATACTCGGAGTGACAAATCCTAATCTCGATCTATGCCAACCCAACAAACACCTTCGGAGATACCTGTAGAGCATCTTTATAATCACCCAATTATGTTGTGACATTTGATAGCACACAAGGTATTCCTTCGGTATCCGGGAGTTGCATAATCTCATAGTCGAAGGAATATGTATTGACATGAAGAAAGCAATAGCAATAAAACTGAACGATCAACATGCTAAGCTATCAGATGGGTCTTGTCCATCACATCATTCTCCTAATGGTGTGATCCCGTTCATCAAATGACAACACATGTCTATGGTTAGGAAACTTAACCATCTTTGATAACGAGCTAGTCTAGTAGAGGCTTAGTAGGGACACGGTGTTTTGTCTATGTATCCACACATGTATCAAGTTTCTGGTTAATACAATTCTAACATGAATAATAAACATTTATCATGATATAAGGAAATATAAAATAACAACTCTATTATTGCCTCTAGGACATATTTCCTTCAAAAACATACTCGTCATTGTCGTCGGATCTGAAGGTCCATGACCCTCCGCCCCATTGCAACAACCGCCTAGAAGTGCAGGACCATGACACCATTCACGCATCCGAGCGGAGGACCGCCTGGTTTCGAAGGTCCCTGCTACCACCCGCATACCTGAAGATGGGACCAGTGGCAAAGGCAGAGAGTTTTTCAAGATATGGCCGACTTAGGCAAGGTCGTACATAACAATTCCAAGTGTGAAGCTTTCTTAAACATTCATCGTGAATATAACATGAAAGAGAGGAAAAAATAAGGTGTGGCGGAGGCCAAAGCTTACCAAATTTCTGCCTCAGTCACTGGATGAGACCAAGGCCACCGATGCCTCATCCTCAAAGACTGTCGGCCCAGTTGGGAAGACCACCGCTCTGCTACACAACCATACCATCTACCTCAAGTCGTCGCTCGTATATCCCATCTCGCCGTTGAAGGGTGC